CATACACATATATAATATCTCTCCCTTTTTTAACTACAACTTACAATAGATTTACTTAGTCTAAAAACCTAGCCGGTTTTTTCTTTACTCGCTCTGATCTACGTACAATATTTAATTGCGGTGTTTCCGCAATGTTATCCTTATTCACGTCACTATCTTTTATTTCCTCATATTCCCTAAATAACGTTGGTGTATTAATTGCACTATTGTCCGTATCATACGACTCACTAACGTCAGGAGCACTAAACGGGCGAATTACACCCGGTTCCGTCATGGAAAGCTTGTCACTGTTTCTTGAACTATCTATTTCAGGAATTGCACAACCATCAGAGGTAGAGTCATTCCCCCCCTTATAAATTTTTTAATTTTTCTCATATGATCTACATATACAAAACGAACATGATCATTTACCATCAAAATATAAGTAACAGGACTGACTCTTACCTTAACAATGCCTTTGGACCATTTATCCTTTTCCCCTCTTACATTTTTAACAAAAATCGCTTCCCCAATCTCAAATTCTTTAAATTTCAAAGGATCACTTTAATTTCTAGTCAACCGTATAGTTTGTTCATCTTCAATTTTCTTATTTAAATTTGGTTTTAAAAGAGAAAAATTAGTTTTAGGTTTTTGTCGCAACATGATTTCTGCTGGAGACATTTGCGTGGTGCTATGTAGAATATTTCTATAATAGAATAAAAAATTGTCTAGTTTTTCTTGATTGGACAGAACATTAGACTTATCATCGTAAATTTGTTTTACAAAACTATTTTTAAAAGTTTGGATGCAGCGTTCTACTGTACCATTTGAGGCTGGGTGTAAAGGTGGAGATTTTAATACTTTAATTCCATTATTCACACAAAATATTACAAATTCTTCCGAATTAAATGGCGCACCATTATCTCTATGAATTTCATCAGGCAATCCAAAAACCGCAAATGATTTTCTCAGACATGATATAATATTAGATGCATTAGTGGATTTAAGTATCCATGCATCAATTCATTTACTATGCGAATCTATTAAAATAAGAAAATTTTTATCATTTTTCTTAGCCAGATCTATATGAAGTCGCTGACATTTTTCCAGCACCAGGACCATGATGTTAAGGGAGCATTGGGTACATAATTTAACATTGACAACACTCACATTCATTCACATTCTTTTACAATTTTTTCAATATCCCTATTGATGTTATCCCAATAGACAAAGTGTCTAGTCAACATTTTCATCTTAACAATTCCGGGATGTTGGTCATATAAAAGTCTTAAAACTTTTGCCTGCAATAGCCTAGGTATAACAACCCTGTTATTATACATGATACAATTTTGATCAACATCTAATCATTCTTTTACCCGACAATATCCCAAGAATTCCTCTGAAACAACCTTAGGCCAACCTTGCCTAATAAACTCCCCAATTTTGTTTAAGAGTTTATCTTTATTAGTTTCCCTAGCTATGTCTTTATATGACAAAGGTAACTCTTGAACCATTGAAAAATATTTAACTGTTTCCCCAGATTCTTAACTTGCTAGAGGTAAACGGGATAGGGCATCAGCATTTGTTATCTTTCTACCTTCTCTATAATGCAATTTATAATCATACATTGATAATTGTACTGCCCAGCGTTGTACCCTTGCTGCAGCTAAGGGGGGCAATGCTTTTGACGGCGATAAAATAGACTGCAATGGCTCATGATCATTGTACAAAGTAAAATTTGTTCCATATATATAATTTTAATATTTGCAACAAAATCTTTTATACAATGATTTTTATTAAATGCATACTTCATTATAATCTTTTAATAACTTTTCCAATAGGATGTTAGTTTCAATATTTACTTTATGTACTTTAAATACTTTATCAGGTTTAAAATAGGATTTCCATTCTGGTAATAATACATTTAACCATGACCTACCTAGTAAACAAACTTGAGATTTAAATTCTACTATTTTTAAATTTAATTTTGTTGCAATACTACCAAATTGTACATTTACATTAGCATGTAAAACATTGTCCTGTACTTGACCAAACAAAGTTTTTAATTTAATATTCGATTTGCCTAACTCTACATTGGGAATAGTTTTTTAAAAGTTTCAAATGATATTATAGTGCTATCAGACCCTGTATCTACTTCAAAAGTCATTACCTTATTTTCTATAACTAATTCCAACATAATAGGCTCACATCTTGGACTGCCTACTAATTGGTTAACTGTTTCCTCTACCTGGGTTGTCCACTTAACTTCAAATTCCTCACTTTCCAGGGTGTCTTCTTCTTCTTCCACAAAATGAACTCTTCCTCTACATAGGGGTGATTTTGCTGTGTGACCCATCACATTACATGTGAAACACCTCCAAGACTTTGCTGGACATTTTGTTGGGTCATTATGAAATCTAAGACATCTCTGACATGGACTTTTTCCCATTTGGTGTGATTTTAATTGATGTCTTTCTGACTGGTTATTCCGAAATTTATTATGATTGAGGAGGCCTCTGGATACTTGTTACTTTTACCTTTATAACTAGAGACTTTATTTATGACTTCTGAACTACTTATAGCCTTTGCCTGGCCTTCAGCTAACTCCATACTTAGTGCAATTTTGACAGCTTTCCCATATGTTAAATCTTCCTCTGATAAAAGTTTCCTTCTAATCGCCTCCGATTTCAAACCACAGACAAACTTGTCCCTAAGCGCCTCTGTCAGGAATGTACCAAACTCCGCATATTTTGACAATTTCTTTAGTTTTTCCATAAAAGAAGTTAGATCTTCTGAATTATCTTGCGAACAATTGTAAAATTTATATCTCTCCGCAATAACTAATCTTTTTGGACTATAATGATCTTTTAATGTTTTCTCCAGTTCGGCATATTTTTTTGTACTAGGTATTTCAGGTGACAACAAATCTTTTATCACCGCATATGCTTCTCCACCAATTAACGTCAAAAATAAGGGCACTTTTTTATTTTCCCCGATTTCGTTGCACACGAATAACTGTTCTATTCTCTCCAAATAACTAGCAATATCATCTTCCTTGGGCTTAAATGCCTCAATTGAACCAATTAGCGCCATTTTGTTTCACTTGTGGATTGTGCACGTGCACACAGACGATTGTACAGACTTGTTTACTATTTTGACAAAAAAAAAACTTTGGGATTATCCTCTTTCTATCCCATCCTCGTCGCCAATATGTTATGTATTAATAATACTCAGACTGGTTACAACTTAACGTTTATTCCAATACGATAACAAAACATGGCCATTTCCTAAATACGACTAAACTAAGAACTACTGAATGACAACTGTCACAACTACTTGGCCCTGTCCCTAGTTCCGTTTACGGTTACTAGTGACAGGGTGCATACACATATATAATACATTCCCACTATCTTTCGCCCTGGCTTCCAATTTCTGACCCCTAGATTCCTCAAGTCATCTTCGACTTAAGGTTTAAATCTAGATCTGGGCCTACCTCTCTTCCTAGTTTCTACTGGCTCTTGATGTAATATCTATCTTTGGAGGTCTCCAATGTCCATTCTTTCAAGGTGTCTTAGCCACCTTAGTCTATAAATTTTATTAGACCGGACGATGTTTCATTTTTCATAGCATTGATACAACTCAAAATTGTAGCGCCTGTGCCATATCCCGCTTTCTTGTACTCCTCCGTATATGTATCTAAGTATTCTTCTCTATTTGCAAACTTTACTAAATGTATGTCAGACCTATTCTTAAGTTTGTCAGACCGGTCTGGAGTCCAGATCTCGCTCGTGACACGATATTACTCGCAAATATTCAGGTAAAGCTATTAGACTAGCATTGGGCTGTATGAGACCTCGTTATGAAGATGGGCATAATAGAGCTTGCGCTTCTATCCTTATTTGTTTTATATTAATAATAATATTATCAAAAAACTTCATAACTGGAAATCAGAGTTTAAAACTTTTTACCAAAGAAATATTGAAGTGTTTATAAGTTCTTATCAACACTAGTAATCATGTTATTTCTAATCCGCAGGAAATACTATCATTTCTAACTCAGGTAATAACTTACTTAATACCGAAGGATCAAAATAACACTCAAGTTTCAACCAAGTATCGCCAATTACTTGTCATCTAACTTTGTATAAATTGATCACATCCTGTGTAGCCCGGCGTATCTACCAGCACTGTGCTTTAAAGAATATCATAGAGGTTCTTTTTTTGCTTTGTATCAACGACTTTTCTAAGGAGGAAAACATGTACGCTTGGATGTTTAAACCTCTAAATGGGCGACATCTCAATGAAGTCAGCCAAAACTATACAAACAATGCAGCATCGAAATATTGGTTAATGTCAGGAAAGATGTTCCCTGAAACAGAAGTTTCCTTACTACCGCCATTTAGGATCAGGTTATGCCAACCAAAAATTACATGAAATACATTGTCAAGGAGCCTCAGATCCAAAACGACAAGCTTTTACTGCGACTGAATCTAACTGCTGCGACTTCTCCAAACCAGCTATCTTCCATATTATCCATACGTCCTTGAGAGTATGATTGGGACTAACTCTAAGCTATACTGAAACAGCGCTGTGCTGACTAACTAACCAATGGTACATAATAGAATAAATCTTATAATAGTTATTAAATTAACTAGACAAAGAATACTAATTGATGTAGCGATACATAAGAGCAATAATCTGAGTGTTAAATATAACAAAAAGATCTCCAAGTACAGAGATCTGAAAATTAAAATGCGAAGACAATGAAGTCCGAGTCATCACCCATTATACTATGTATCTTAGTATCTGGTCATCACCTCTATTAGACCATTCAGTAGTAGTACTTTCGACGACCAGATACCTCCAGAAAATTTTTGAGAGATACTAAAGCGTACCTCGTCACCTAGGGCTCGATAACACGGAAAGAGTTCCACTAGAGATCAATCCTTTTGATGAATAAGTTTTCCCCTTAGAGGGAGTGTGAACCGTATGGTGTAAATCTGGGATAATAATAATATAATAAAAACAACGAAATCTTTTAAAAGTTTATTCGAGAAATGCTTTAAAGGTAATATTTGAAGAATTTATAATTATTTCTTAGACTAAAAATATAAATATATTTAATTTATCTTTGCTGGTATGATGATACACACTGCTTTGTCTCCAGTGTCAGTTATGAGTTCCCACCAAATCTCAACAATCACCTAAAATGAAGAGAAAGATTAATCATACATATATTTCAGTCGGTAAATAACGTAGGTGAATTATAAATATGTCACATGTGCATTTCAATAATCATCATTAAAAAAAGTGACAGAATCGCTCAAAAATCTAGGAGCATACTGAGTGACAAATTACACATAATGTATGAGACATAGATAAATAATATAGTATATAGATAGTATGAGATGTTATAATATATTATCAGAGAAGAGAAATGTTGATGTCATCACAGAAAACATCACCCAACGTTTCCACATTGATTCTGAAGTTCTTTTAATATCGTCGCTCTAGAGCATTTGCGGCCTTCTTCGTGGTCTTTTGGCTTCATATGGCCGGCAATTCTCGATTTCTTTGTTTACTGGCCATCCTTAAGAAGTTCGTTATGTCCAGCCCATTTCCATTTTAGTTTTAGCTGCCTGTTCGACAGCATCTTTTACTTTTGTTCTATTACGAATGCCTTCATTGGTTTTATGGTCTTTGAGTGAGATACCCAGCATCTGTCGTTGCATAATGTCCAGGTTTGAGTTCCATATGTAAGTACAGGTAGAATACAGGAATTAGACACTTTGGTTTACAATATTTGAAGTATATTTTTATTTTTAAGTACGTATGAGTCTTCCGAATGCTGCCCATCCCATTTTTATACGTCTTCTTATTTCGTTAGTTTGATTTTTTTGCTTACCTTGACATTTTGACCCAGATATGTATATTCATCTATGTGTTCTATCTCTGTCCCTTGGATGTTTATCATAGGTTTATCATCTTTGTTATTAGCTTAGTTTTGCTGAAATTCATTTTCAGTACTTTTTTTTAGAGAATATGTGTAGCTCCTCAATCATCGTATTCAGTACATTCCACGTATCGGCTATTAGTATCATATCATCTGCATACCCGCGGAAGATGGTTCAAGTATATTCCGTTAATAGGGATTCCCTTATTTTCCCAGTCTATTAAATTAAAGATATCTTCTAGATCAGCTGTAAATAATTTTGGAGATATTGTATCTCCTTGTCTTACGCCTCGGTTGATTTTTGCTAGTCTTATTTCGATTCCAGTAAACAACGTCACTATCATTTCAGCTTGTTCGTAAATATTATGCATTAGTATTCTGTACCTTGAGTCGATCCAGTTGTTGACTAATGCTTCGTCTATTGCCCACAGTTCCTAAGCTATCAAAAGCTTTTTCATCATCATCATCATATAACGGGGGTCCTACGGCGATTGCCGCTTCCCGCATTTTCAGCCTCCATCTTTTCCTATCTCTCCAATCTCCCTCTTCTAAGCCTCTAGATTGCATTGTTTTTGTAATTTCTCTTCTCCAGGAATTTGGTGGTCTTCCCCTTTTCCTTCTTTCTGGCGGAACATACATATACATAAGGCTTTCTTTGGCCACCGCTCCCTCCTCCATTCTCATCACGTGACCATACCATTGTAATTGCCTTCCTTGTATTCTATCTGAACGAGTATCTCTAATTACTGTACGGTTTCGTATTTCCTCATTCCTGATTCTTTCCATTCTCGATACTCGACATGACCTTCTAAGATAATCCATTTCCACAACGTCTACTTTATCTCGTTCATTCTTTGTCATCGTCCAACATTCGGCACCATATGTGGTAATTGGTTCTACAATTGCTCTGTATACGCGAAGTTTGGTATGCATCTTTATTTTATTAGACCACAGTAATGAATTCAGTATTCGGATGCATTTTTTCCCTTGGGTTATTCGGTTTTGTACATCTATCTTAACTCTGTTATCTGCTGATATGATGCTTCCTAGATATTTATACTGGTTGCAGCCTTTTATGACTGCGTTTTCAAGCCTCAGATCTGTGGTATTTCCTCCAATTTTTAAATATTCTGTTTTGCTTATGTTTACAGTAAGCCCCCATTTGGCATATTCCTCAAATAATTTTCGATTCATATAATTTATATCTTCCTCATCGGTTGCAACCACCACCTGATCATCTGCAAACAACAATGTATACAGAGTTTCTTGTCCCACTTCGATGCCCATAAATCTACATTTATTTCTCCAATTCCTCAATGCTTCTTGGACGTATTTTAAAGAGTGTCGGTGACAAACAGCATCCTTGCTTTAGGCCTTTAGTGACTTTAAATTCATTTGAGGTTCTGGTTCCAATTTTTACACAACTAACTGCATTTTCGTACAATTTATATATCGCTCGGATATACGTCGAATCCAATCCGGACCTTTTGAGGACCTCAAACATTTTCTTTAACGGGACACTATCATATGCTTTCTCAAGGTCTATAAATACCAAATGGGTCTCTCTACTTCTTTCGACACGCTTTTCAATTATTTGTCGTAGGATAAATATATTATCAAGGCAGGATCTCCCGGTACGAAAGCCGCTTTGTTCTTCAATATCTTGTATCTGTCTTTCAACCCTCTTCTTTAACATTCTGCCGTACAACCGGCCCACAGAGCTAGTCACACTAATACCTCTATAATTGGAACAGTCTCTTTTATTCCCTCTCTTATATATGGAGCTTATATAAGATTTATTCCAATCTTTAGGAATTTCCTGGTCTCCACACATACATTTATTGAAAAGGTCTACTATTAATTCTAAAAGTGCAGTCGGCCCATATTTAACCAGCTCTATGGGAATGTCTCCAGGCCCTGCGGCTTTTCCGTTTTTAACCTCTTTTAAGGTTTCCGTCAATTCAGATAATATTATTATAGGGATTTCCTGTCTTTCGTCTCTGTTGTCTATTAATTCCCTTATCTTTTCCCATCTGTACTCTACTCTATCCTCTTTCAGCAGTTTCGTATAATATTCTTCCCATTCATTTAACTTTATGAGAGAAATGTTGTCTTCATTTTTCTCATTTTTCCTAAACTGTTTTAATGTTTTCCAAGCTTGCGCCACTTTTGTTCCACCCATAAATCTGTCCAGTTCATCACACTTAGCCTCCCAGTTTATATTTTTCGCCTTATCCACGTCTTTTTTAACTTCTCTATTCCATTTAGCGTATATTTCTCTGTCTTGAGGATCTTTGGATTGAAGCCATATGTGATATGCTTGTTTTTTCTTGAGAACTTTCTCTTCTAGTTCCGTTGACAACCATTCAGGTTTTCCTTTTTTCCGATTTTCAACTTTTCCCAGTGCTTCATTTGCCGCTTCATGAATATATTTTTTAATTACCTCATACAGACTTTCGGGGTCTAAGTCCTTTGTTTCTATATTTCAATTTATTGTTTATATTAAATTTATTTGTTTCAAAAGCTTTTTCATAATCTATAAAAGCCAGATATAATGGGAGATTGTATTCATTAGTCTTTTCTATTAGGATTTTCAAAGTATATAGATGGTTAAAGGTGCTGTACCCTTTTCTAAATCCAGCTTGTTCTACTGGTTGATATCCGTCAAAATTTAATTGTTAACCTGTTCGTAATAATCTTTGTAAAGGTTTTGTAAAGTTGTGAAAGAAGTGAAATTGGTCGATAATTTTTCAGGTCTGTGAAAACTTACAGATGTAAGTTAACAAAATTAAAAGTTGTTTTTTTTTAACAAAAAATGTCTTAATTCAGTATTCTCTTGATCAATGGAAGTTGCAACTAATAACTTGAAAAGTTACTAACTTAAAAGCAACAAAAATAAGAAGAGAATAAGATCTGAAAAACTAGTTGTTTGTTTCAACTTAGTTCCAGTTTCAAGTTATCATAATTCATATTAAATACAAAATATATATATAACGTTTATCAAAAATGGTTGGGATACTCACCCTAGGATATACTTGCTTTACTTCAAAGGTATCAGTATATACATAGGTTTTTCCTTCTTCGAGAGGGCATTCTACTCCTACTCCTTTACATGCGTCTGCATTTGGTAGCGGGAATTTGGTCTTGTAACCCAAAACGTCACCATATACCACCGCGGTTAGGTTTGTTGAGCTTACTTCTGTAAAAATAACAAAAGGTAAGTTATTTGTTAATTAAATCAAAGTGTTAACGGTTATTAAACACTTTATTTGTTTGATACAAAAAAGTGAACTAGTGAACTTGTTTCTAAATAAAAATGAAGTCATCATGCAGTATCTATGCAGTCAAACATAGAGCAATAACACACAAGTTAGTTAAGGCCAAATAACTGATGACATCTTAATATAACACCGAGTACGATAAGGATGTATTTTATGCCCTATACTATTCAACATTTATTCTAAATGTGTCTTTACGGAAGCTCTGGAGGATGCAAACAAAAGAGTATTAATAACTGGCGAATGATTGAATAAAATTTAGATACTCAAGTGACACCGTAGTTTTTGCAGATCATTTTGCTAATTTACAAGCATTAATCAATCCACAAGACCACAAGACAATTTCCCGACACGAGTAAAGACTCTATAAATCAGGGATCGGAAATACTTTTACTCATTACTGTGTCAGAAGTAAGAGCAGCTTTAAAGGAAATGAAGAGCCATCGATCGCCTGGTGATGATATACTCGTTATCGAGGCAAGAGAGGCAGGAGAAGAAATTTTAATAAAATCAGTAAGCGAACTGTTTAATAAATGCTTACATTCGCGTACGATTCCAAAAGACTGGAACAATGCAGTAATAGTCTTGTAACACAAAAAGGCGATATTACTAAATTAGAAAATTATAGACCCATCAGCCTCTTGACACATATGTACAAACTCTATAAAAATCTTAACAAGAGGCTAACACCAAAACTTGATTTCTATCAACCCAAAGAACAGGCAGGCTTCAGGGCAGGATATGGCACAAATGACCATTTGCATACCATAAAGATCTTAATAGAAAAGTGCATCGAGTACAACATACCACTGGTTCTTGCATTTGTCGATTACGAGAAGGCTTTTGATTCTGTAGAGTTTGAAACAATACTGGAAGCCCTAAATCAAAGCCGAATAGATTACAGGTACACGACACTAATCAAAAACATCTACGAGAACGCTACATCAAGTATACGACTACACGAAGACACAGAAAAAATTCAGCTTAGGTCGAGGAGTTAGACAAGGAGACAATATTTCACCAAAATGTTCACGGCAGCTCTAGAGCATATTTAGAGCACTCAATGACAGATATGGCATCAATATAAATGGAGAAGGATTAAATCACCTAAGATTTGCAGATGATGTATTAATCGCAGATAATTTACATGATACAGTTTCTATGATGCATTCGCTTAAAAGTCTGTCTGAAAGAGCAGGATTAAAGATAAACTTTGAGAAAACTAAACTTATAACAAATCTCGTAATGAGTGGAAATATAACTATTGACAATAATACCATACAACTAAACAGACACTTACAAATATCTGGGACACGAAATCAAAACAAGCAGATACAATCAAACACATGAAATACAGAGGCGAATAGGCCTAAAATGGGCAGCATTTGGCAAATTAAGCCATATTCTAAAAAGTTCAATTCCCATGTGTCTCAAGCGAAAAGTTTATAACCTATGTGTTTTACCTGTACAAACTTATGGAGCAGAGACTTTAACACTCACGCAAAAATCTGCGAATAAACTCAGAGTTACACAACGAGCCATGGAACGTGCAATGCTGAACGTGAGCCTTCGAGACCACATAACAAACCAACAAATCAGGCAAAGATCAGGAGTTCAAGACGTCATCGAAAGAACCACGACGCTTAAGTGGAACTGGACAGGGCACTTAGCCAGAAGACAAGATGGACGGTGGACAAGACGTATTATGGAATGGAGGCCCAGAAACTATAAAAGAAGCCGAGGACGACCACCGACTAGATGGATCGATGACATAAAACGTGTAGCGGGAAACTGGCTAGAAGCGGCTCAGTGTAGAGAACACTGGAAAGAACTGAGGGAGGCCTATGTCCAGCAGTGGACGCAATTGGCTGATTGATGATGATGATGATGGATGATGAATCAATCCAATTACTGAGTAGATAGGGGCTAGACCTTATCATAAAAATACCAAATTAATGACAATTAGCAAACATTCAATCCTAACCGCCAATTTCTCAGAAATCTTTACTACAATCAGACCGCTTGTGTTAAGGTGGATCGAGATATTTGAGCTGAAGTTTCTATTAAGCGTGATGTCAAACAGGGACGTGTTATGTCACCGATGTCGTTTAATGCTTACACAACCATTTTTGAGTAGCGTTAAATAATGTCGCGAAGGTGTTACAATCGGTGGTGAAATTAATCAGATACGCAGATACGACTTACATCGCCGGGCCCCAATAAAATGTACGGTTGTACCCCTCTCGGCTTGATCGATCAAACCTTTCATGAAGAAACCCAGAAGAAAACACAGAGGTTCGCACAAAGTCGGTATTATTACTCTCATCGTCACTAACACAAGAAACACGTACGTCTCTAGATCTATCAGAGTAGGTTGTAGTGATCGTGTCAGAGTAGAGTAACATGTAGTGGAGGTCGCCGTAATGGTACTCCAGTAAAGGTTTTAACTGATGCTTGGACCAGTAATTTCACTCCCTAGAAAGACCCCTATACCATCCAAGATATAAAGATATGGATTGTCAGTTATGAACTACCGAAGATTTTTTTAAGCAATATATTGATGACAGCAAAATAAAAACCATGACTGTAGCATCGAATAGAACATACGTTGAACGAAAAGGAACAGAAGCAAAAATTGGAAATTAAAGAGCTTAAAAACATTTATTGGTGTCCCACTCATTATGAGTGTTATAGACCTCCCGAGAATTAGAATGTATTGGTCAAGAAAGTTCTCGTCAACCATCCAAAATCTCATCCGTCAAAATACTATGACTAGAACCCGATGTTTTAAAATCACAACATCTCTAAAGGTTGTTTATGATGATGAAATCTATGATTAACAAAAAATAAACAAAATTTGGAAAGTCTTACCTCTGTTCAACAGTTTATTAAATGGTTGTCATGCTCAAATAAGATCTAATTATATAAGTTAAGATGAAATGATAATACCTTTTTACCGTAATTGCTTGGGTGAAATCAGCAATTCTTAGTTTGTATGAAAGTGTTGTTCCTGCTCATCACATTTACTTCGATCGACATATTTACGACAATATTTTCCGACAATAAAACTTGCTGATGTATTATTAAAAGAGGTTTTTACACCACAGGCACGATTTTAAGCAAGAGATTCCCTTGAAATTGTATCTTTTCCCCAGAAAAAAACAGTTCATGAAAAATCCAAAGGTAGATCTGAAACGAAGGTTCGAGGTGATGGAAGCATTGTTAAAACTCGCTGGTTAGACAACAAACCTGTTACAAACTGTGTATCGGCAAACTATATAGAACAGCTGTTTAACTACAAACGAGACAAAATAGATAACGAATAATTCGTTGAAGAGACTATATCAGAAATAACAGAAAGTGAAATAGAACACAAAATTAAAAAAATTGAAAACTAGAAAAGCAGAAAACCAGACGAAATATCGACAGAAATATTGCAACTTATCACCGACTACAATATACCTGTTATTGTCTAATTATTTAATATCATATACTGAACAAGTACATTACCTAAATAATAGCTTCTATCAACATTCGTGACTATACCGAATAAGAAAAATGCCAGACAATGTTGCGATCACCGTACCATCAGTGTAATGTGCCACATACCAAAGTATTCCTAAAGATTTATTCATCGTAGAATATATAAAAAATTAGAACAAGACATTGAACAAACTCAGTTCAGATTTAGAAGTGCTCTAGAAACCAGAGAAGCATTACATGCAGTAAATGTGCTAATACAGAGATGTTTAGAAACCAGGACATCTGTGTCTGCTTCCTAGATTATAACAAGGCATTTGATACAGTGAAACATAATTCCTTAATATAACTACTGAGAACAAAGAACATCGACACATGGGATATAAGAATAATAAATAATCTGTATTATGAACAAGAAGCTGTCATAAGAATATATAATTTAAAAAACTCATAAAACAGAGCTGTGTCTTGTCGGCAACCCTCTTAATGCATACTCAGGAAATATTTAAAAAAGTATAAGAAGATGAAGTAGTAGACATAAAAATAAGTGTCCTAGCCGTACGTGAAATTAGATATACTGATGATACAATACTAATAGCAGAAAATATTACAGATCTACAAAGAATTTTAGATAAGGTTGTTGCAGCTAGTGAAGAATTTGGTCTATCAGTAAACCGAGACCGTAAACCGTTAAACCGTAAGTAAACCGAGAATACCTAATTTACTTCGACTACTTAGCTAAAAGAACGGGGATCATGGAACTATTGGTTGTGGAAGGAAAGCTAGAAGAGCGAAGACCCAGAAGAAGATCTCCAACAAAATGGGTAGACCAAATGAAGACTCTGGTGGGAAAATGTATATGGAGCCGTCCATATGGCACAAGATCGCAGCCAATGCAGACAGAAAGCTAATACAATTTAGAGTATTATCACGTTATGACAAGGGTTCAAGCAATGAGGAGAGATGTAGAACAGAGATGGAATGCGAGATCATTCATACAATGAAAGGAGTAGGGAGAACAAGAATTTCTTGGCTTCAAAACTTGAGAAAATAGTTTAATAGGTCAACTACTTGACTATTTCGAATAGTTACCAGCAAAGAAAAATAAGAATATATTGAAGAATTGGTAACACACATAACAGCACCAACTAATTGGACGATATCGTTTGCTACACGAATCGATCTATACAACAATAACAGAAATGTTTATTAATACACACTCACCAGAATGAAAAAACGGAGCACTTGCATTTTTAAAATAAAAAATTTAAAACTTAATTCTCTTTAAACTTTTATACCGTGTCAATGGCCATAGATGTCGAGACACGTTAATTTCAATAAAAAAAAAACTTTTATTATTATAATAACGTAAACACAAACGAACCAAAGTGTTTTAAGTAATTTCTAATAAAGCTTAGTGCTGATAAAAAAAATATATAAA